TTTGAGGACGCCGGTTGAGAAAGGTTGGTGTTGGTGGTGGTTACGGTGGGTTTGGGTGTGGGTTAATGGTTACTTAGTCGGGGGCTACTAGGGGTTACTACGTCGGTTAGGGGTTACTAGGTCAGTTATAGGTTAATAGGTTAGGGGTTACTTGGGGTCATTAGTAGTTACTAGGTTAGGGGTTACTTGGGGTTACTAGGTTAGTCAGGGGTTACCAGTCAGGAGGGGTTACTTTGTGTAGAGGGCACTAGAAGGGTTACTTAAGTGAATTGCTAAATACCGCCAACGTTTTTTATCAAACCAAAAACAAAAGTAATGAAGAGACAAGATTACCCTTATTATCCCAATTTGGCTCTCTCTCTCTCTCTCCTAAGTCCATCAAGATTCAACACTCAAATTCAACCATCAACCACCATCGAAATTAGAGCAACCACCACTGCCACAACCCACACCACCGCCACCTCCCACACTACCACAAGTCCACGACCACCAGTCCACCACCAGCACCCACCATCAAGGTCCACAACCACAAAGAGGTATTGTCTTATATTTTTTATATTGCCCAACAGAAGTAGTCAACATCCATCAATAAAACGACGACCCACCACCTTCCTTCGTCGGCAGGAAGGTGGTGTTTTTTTAAATCCGGCGACCAACACAACCGACGCGCAAAACCGATCAACCGGCATGGTAATCGGCGTTCAAAACCGGTTACCGTACCGGTTGACTAGTTTTGGACGCCGTTTACCGTGGTCTACCGGAGGCCAAAACCGGTCAACCTACACGGTAACCGGTTTTGGACGCCGGTTACCGGCGATGTCCACCAGTTTTGACTGCCGATTGATGACGCCGGAATAATTAAAAAAAAAAAGTATCCCCTTTCCCACCATCACGTCAATATATTCACCATCGTATTGGCGGTCGTCGCTGTCTTGTACTCGCCAACCCCTTCAATGTCACAAAACTTTATCCACCGCCGCCGCCTCCCTACATTGATGTGCTGCCGCTGTCCTTTACCTCTGCCCAATGTGGTTGTGTGGGTAGTTGGTGACAGTAATGTTGGTGGTGGATGGTCAAAGGGAGGGAAAAAAAGAAAAGAAATAGTAAGGGTACTATTGTCTCTTTACATCAAATGTTGGCGGTTTTGATAAATAATGTTGGCGGTATTTAGCATCCCCTGTGGGGTTACTTGAGGGGTTGCTAGAAGGTTACTGATATGGCACCTTGCCGCACCAGAAACGCGTTGTTCTTTAAAGATGGTACTCTCTCTGTTTAGTTATTTTTTATTTTATTTTTTTAAAAGTGTTCCATCTTTGACATTTATTTGTACAAAGTACTATTTACATAATTCACTTAATTTAGCGTTTTTAACATAACATAAAGCATAATCATGTAAATACTTTTGTTAGAATTGTATTATTAATGTATATTTTTTGAATTTTATCTTTTTATAAATTATATTTAATGATATATATATCTATATCGAGATTCGTGCTTGACAATCAAATTACGGTTTGTTCTATTCATCTTATTTTTAATTATTTCAGGTTTAATATGTTCAGATAAGCCGTTCAATTCAGGAAAAATAAATTCTAATAAGGATTACTCAAGTTCAAGTTAAAACTAAAATAATTTATTTGTCAAAAAAAAATATATATAACTAAAATAATTTATAATAAGGTCTAATAAGTTCAGTTAAAATCAAATACGTAAATATCAAGTGAATAGAACATTATAACCCTTAAAAAAAAGGAAATACGGAGTATATAATACTCCCTCCGTTTTTAAATACTTGTTCCATTTCTATTTTTTGCACTATTTATTAGTCCTACTTTGACTAATGTTTGTGATTTATATATAAGAAAAAATATAGTCTTGTGGGTACTTGTTAGAATCATTTCAATGAATAGATTATTAATTTTCAATAGTTAGAATTTATACTTATTGATAATTAAAGATATTAGTGATCAAAGATTAGCATCGGTATACGTGTCTTAAAAAAAATGAAGCAAGTATTAAAAAACGGAGGGAGTATTCTTCTTAATACATGCCTTAAAAAAAAAAAACCTAGCTAGCGGAATGCGTCCATTCCATTGACAAAAGCGTAGGCATTGGGTAATGCTCCATTGAATTTCATTTTTCACATGCATTTAAAATTAAAGTTCCAGATCTTCATGCTTTAATTTTAGGGGATTACCGGGTATTATTTGATGATATTTTTGGTCTATATTTGATATATTTAAGAGATTGTGATACAATGTAAAGCAGTTTAAGGAAAAAAAATACAATGTAAAACTAAGGGTTCGTTTTTATGAAGGAAAATTCTATTTGATTCAATATCTTATATATTTGTTAACGTCGAATCTCTATTATAGATGTCGTATGACTTTTAATTAATAAAATATTTTTGCTATTCAAAAAAAAAAAAAAAACTAAGGGTTCGTTTGGCATCACTGTGGTTTTCTTTTTTTAGTTTTTTGTTTTTCAAAATTATATGATATATGTCCTATAATGAATAAAAAAATTAGTCAAACTTACTCCGTATTAAGATAATGATATTTTAGAAAATTGCCAACAAAAAAGTGAAAACAAGAAAAAAGGTGTTTCCAATTTTTGGTCTTTTGTTTTAAAAAAAAATTGAAAACGATGTCAAACAAAACAAGCCCTAAATTATTAATAATCAAAGATGCCCGACACATATAGGGCAAATCTTGCGGGTGGTTTGGATTTATATAAATTTATTTAAAGTTGATAAATGAATGATAAGAACATAAAAATTGCAGAACATACAAGTATATATATAACATACAAGTGTATATATATATATATATATATATATATATATATATATATATATATATATATATATATATATATATATATATATATATATATATTTTAATAGGGTAATGATATATATAGCTCTAGCCCTTAGGGTTATGTATAAGTATTAAATATATTTTTTAAAATAGAATTAAGTTGGGAACTCATGACAAATCACATACAAATCGGTGTGATTAATATTAATCTATCCTTAATATTTCCTTTTTCAGCTCCTTATAAATAACCGTTTATTATTTTCCATATAAATATGAGGTATGTGAATAATGTGATATTGGCAAAGTGGTTATGCTTGCTCTTAATTATCTCCATCCCTTTTTAATAATGCATGTGGGTTTTAGAGCACAACGTGGGTTTTCACTACCTTCTATTATGATAACCAATTAACGATCAATATTAGAGAAAGAAATTAAAGTAGACCCTTAATGAGATTACTACATGCATGGTGCATCCAAAGCCACCACACCATTTGTGATATAGGCCAATAATAGATTTGTTTAATTTGTTTTCAAGTTGAATATTTAACCAAATTATAACGTAAGAGTACTCATAGTTAGAAAAAGATAGCCCTACCTAAAACATACATTGTATCTTGGGGAAAAATCGATGTATTACACATGGCAAATCATTATTGATGGAAAATGATGTTGGAATATTATTACTTAGGACCACATATATTTATATGAATAATATTTTTCTAATATGTATTGAAATTTTTCATTAAGTAAGATATAAATACCTTTGTTTCAAATTTGCAACATTAGGCCAATAATAAATTTGTCTTAACAAAACGTGGCTACATGATATGGTTAGTCACACACAAAATGTGCTATACACACAAATAATCTACTTAATATTGGTTAGACTAATTTTTCAAATCATATTTATTTGTGTTTATCCAAAATCCAAGCTATAAAATTAAACGACTTTTATAATTAAAAAAAATGAATTGTAACCCATAAATATTCATGCATGTCTCTCTCTCAATTTTTCTTTCTTTTTTGCTACACAATTGAATTGATTGAGGTTTTTTTTTTTTTTTTTTTTTAAGAAAAAAATAATAAAAATTCATTCACTTGATATTATTTATAGCTATTGATTGTGGTATAGGGATAAATTTATACATACCCCTCAGTTAGGGTATATTCTCATATGTGTAAAAAAAAAGGGTATATTCTCATAACAAAATTAATTGGATAGTCAATATATAGCTTATCATGCTTTATAATAAACCGTGCACGCATATAACCTATTTAATGATTGTAGTTTGATGAAGAAAACCTTTATTTGATTCTATTTTATGTAATTGTTAATTTAGATTTCATTTGTAGATATTAATGACTTTTTAATGAATTGATTAGTGGAGTGATTAAGTTTTTTCAAAAAAAAAAAAAAAAAAAAAAAGTAAGAGCATCTCCAATGGCAAGCTACAACATATTGTAGCAGCTTGTCTTGCCACATCATATTTTTAAACTACAAAGGTTTCAAGCTACAAAGTTCCTCATTGGTTGGCTACAACATCTTATAGCTTGCCTCATCAAATAATTGTTTTATTTTTTATTTTTTTGTGTTTGATATTTTATTAAAATTATTAGATAATATAATGACTTTTTATTACTACTATATCATAGATTATTGTAGATTTTTTTTATATAATATGTTTACCTTTTTAGTCTACAAATAATACCACAAAAAAAAAAAAAAAAAACTGATTCAGAAAAATAAAAATATTTAAAAGAGTGTGATTAAGATAATATTAAAAAAAAACAAAAAAAAAAATAACCAAACAAACTTAAACATATCATATATAAGTACGGTATATTTTATCTACATGACAAACAATTTAACACACATAGTATTCCAACTGCATTATTTTTTAAATTAAAAAAAAATTAAATTTTTTTCAAATTTTTAAGCAGTATTGCTTAAGTGAGCAGTATTGCTCATTGAAGTAGGTCTTCCAGTGTTGCTCAAATTTTTTATGTTTGATATTTTATTAAAATTATTAGATAATATAATGACAATTTGTGTTGGGACTTTTTTTTTTATGGAGAAAGAAGAGTAGGGACCATAATAAATTAATAATATCAGTTAACTTAAGAGTCAAAAAAGTACTAAAAATACTTGTAAAAAAAAAAAACAGGATACTATGGCAAGTGTAAACACTTGGGAAAAAAAAGTGTACATAAAATTACACAGTAATTTAACCTAGCCCTCCTTTCTGATACATGAAAATATCATGAAAAAGTAATCCAGTAATTACCAAACAAGCTTGGTTAATTACTGCACCAACAAAAAAAAAATGGGAGCACAGTTATAATTGTCAAAATCTAATGTACAAGTCAATTCAAGTATTATATTGTGTACATAACATCACTCAGAAAAAGAAACAACAGAAATGAAAAAAACAACATAAGATGATCATTATTCAATCATCAAATGTAACAAAAAATCTCTTATGTTTCCTCCTCTGACACTTAGATTTTATTTTAATAATGAGTTGAAATCCTGTTGAAGAACTCAAAGGTAAAGTTCTAACAGAAGATTCAACTCCTCTTTTACCCTTTAACAACTGATCAATAAGCACAACACCTTGTTCTCTTTGTGTTATATTGTTAGCAACAATTATAGCACCTCTTGGATTCATGTGCAACCTCTCGGATAATGTTCTCAGGCGACTCGGGTCGAAACCGGTGCAGTCAATGACTGCGAAATCAACGTTCCGAATGTTGTTTATTAGTTCACATGGATCACCAACTCGTAGTTCGGTGACGCCACTAGCGTCACAGTTGTCGTGGTCGCGATCGACGTAGTGGTCTAGTCCGAAGAGGGATTGAAGAGTGGGACGAATGCATATGAGTTTGCCTTCAGTTTGTTTAGCAGCAACTGCTAGTGCAAGTGTTAAGGGTGTAACGCCTTTTTGGTGGGATGTTATGTCTAGTATTATTCTTGCTTTGTTTCCTGCTGCTAAAGCTGATAGTAATTCTGTTCCTTGTGGTTCGATTACTTTGCTTCCATCTACTCCATACCTTTCTTCTTCATTTTGTATGTTATTCTCTTTACACTGAAAAATATAACAAAAAAAAATCATGAGTAAAAAAGAACCAACTTCATAATTAATATGCGGCAAATTAAATACAAGTTTATATAAACGAATTTTAGTTAATCTGGTGACATTTTTGTAAATATTTTGAAAAAATGTAGTCATTTATTCAATATTTTGGTAAGTTATCCAATTGTTGTTTGCAACTTGCATTTAGGAAATTATACATTTACCCCCTAAAATAGTACATAATAAGAACCATGTACTCATCCATTGGTACTGACGATTATACCCCAGATAAAACAACTCATTAATATGACAATTAATATGACAATCAAGTGTCAAACTCAGCTATTTTACAAAAAAAAAAAAAAATAAATAAATAAATAAATAAATGTTATGAATTTAATCTAGATTGTATAATGTGAAGAATCTAACACGAATATTAGAGATTGAGATAAAAAGTGATGAATACTTACCAAATGAAGAGTTTGCAAGAAAGCTTTCATTGCATGTTGAGGAGACCACTCCATTGTTGCCATATTAGCTAGTTAGTTTACTATCAAGTTGTTTGTTGTTTATGTGTTACTATAAAACGTATTAGAGCTTCTTAAGTTTGATGATGTATGTTTTTATGTTTTATGACTACTACTATTCAACACCCCACCTCTCTTTCTTTATATAGTAGTCTCTTACCATTTATTTCATATTTTTAAAATAAAAAAATCAACGAAAAAGGTGAATCTTACCCAATGACTAAGCAACACATGGCAAACGAAATGGGCATTTTTGCATGGCTCGCAAATTCGTGGCAAGAATAGAGCTATTTCATGTGAGAGTTTACAGTCTGTATAGTAATTCCACCCCTTCTTTTTCTCATTTATTACCTTTTTTCAATTTATTTTAAAAAAATATATAAAAATATCTATATACGTATCAACTACGTATGGGACACATGGCATCGTATAATAGTTTGTTGTAGGACACGTGGAGGGCTTTGATTCTTTGGTTAAGTGACTATGTCATTGCTAATTATTGGTTCATGTATGTAACTTGATATTGCTAATTATAGTATTTTAGCCACCAAAATTTTACAGGAAAACTAGGGTGAATGTTTCATGTTTGCTTGCTGTCCTTGATCGTATAATTCTTTATTAAATACTTAATGATAAGTACTCCAATCATGTATATAGTCACTATGTTACTCAGATACGTGTATAAGGATCAAATGTGAGTATAAATTTAAGAGTAGACTCGATAAGATTTTAGGACACAGAGACATTGTTTTAAAATTGGACACAATATTCATCATACATATTTTAAATTTGTAGTTTCTATGTGGTAAGTAGGTATATACATACTTTGTAGGACACGTGGAGGGAGTTAATCCTTTATATACAAAGAATTGATGGACTATGTCATTGCTAATTATTGGTTCAAATAGCTAGCTAATTACAAGTATAAATTTGTGGCCACCAACATTTTACATTCGACACGGATAACTAAGGTGACCTTGCTTGATATCTTTGTTTTTTTTATTTTTGATGGGTGATATCTTTATTATTTGATGATATTCTATATTAATTAACTAATGAAAATAATCGAAATAAAACAAAATAGGATAAAAATTCATATTTAAGGGATTTTTAAAAATAGAGACATTGTCTTAAACAATTGGAGTCCTGTAGCTAGGAGATGAGCCACTGGACATTCATGTTATTACATACATATACTTGATTTAAATATTCATAACGTATATGGATACGTAAACACATACTTCCTCCGTTTCTATTTAGTTGACGCGTTAGATTTATGCACATATATTAAGGAGAGAAGAGATAGTGAGAGAAAATGAAAAAGCAAGTGGGGTACCTTGTAAATGCAAAGTAAAAAAATTTACCCCAAAAGAAAACATGCCAACTAAAAAAAAAAACTTCCTAAAAAGGAATACGTGTCAACTAAAAAGAAACGGAAGTAGTATTATAAATAGATTTAAGTCCAAATCTTATTACGTAATAAATCAAAACCCATAATTTTCTCCTTACTACTCTAATCCATCTCTACCTTTGTTTTATTTAAATATGTGGTCTAACATATTTGAAAGATGTTTAGATAATATAATTAGAAGTTTCATGTAAGATTATCATATCTTTGTTGGAATGTCAATTGGTTCGAGTACAAAATACAAACAAAAACAAGTGAAGTAACATAATAATGTATAGATGCATTGTTAGACGTGCATTATAAGAAATAATGAAGTAGAAAAAACGAATTATTCAAGAAAGATAAGATAAGATATGATCATGATTCATGAAGTAATTGTTATATCATGTCTGCATGAAAGTTAGGATGTATGTAGAACCGTCTTTGAAACACTGCATCACCAACAGAGAGATGATACTTGATACCATACATAGAATCATAGATTATATTCCTATCACTACATCACCCACGTTGTGGGGGATCTCCTTTGCTCGTAATAATGGGTGATTTGTTCTACAATTTTGAAACATACGTTTAATAACAACTTGTATATTGTTCTTCTGTTCCTACCATACTACAGGATTTCTTTTGGGTCCTTTGAAAGTTTTGAAGTGTTTTGCATCTAAGCGGTAATAGATATCTTTCAAGGGTGCGCGTTGCACAGCTTCCAAGGTTAAGTGTACAACCGAATTATAATATATTCTCCGTAGGAAATATATATTGTGCTTACAACCGTTGTATTTTTTTTTTTTTTGTTGAGTAAAATGATTGGTCCTGGCCTAATCAAACCTAAATTCTAACAATTTTTATAATCTAATCTCTGTAATGTGAACATTAAAAATTTAAGAGGAAAGGTAAGAGATTCTCACACTCAAACCCTTGTAGTTATAAAGTTTCCTTGTAACCTTAGGGTTTCTGTTTTCCCCAATCCCAACCAACTAAACCAACCAAGATCCTTTCTTGGTTTTCCAACCTTACTAAACGTCAAAATGAACAGGAACTACTTGAAGTATTTCAGAGTATTTTCTACGGTTTGAAATTGATGCAGTCTGCTTTTCATCAAAGGCTTGGAGTTTTGTACAATAGTTGCAACACTTGCAATTAACTAGGGCAACTAGACTTTATGGATTAATTCTAAAATGCGGTGATATAAATGATTGTAGAAGTTGACAGTATTGACCAAAATCACATGTTGGCACATTTTTTAAGAGAGATTGAGTCATAAATTTTGACATAAAATATCCCAAAACAGAGGAGTAAGAAAACTGTAGAAGTTTCCAGAGGAAGAGATAAGAAGGTTCAGTTCACATGAATTTCATGAATATGAACTGGAGCAGAACATTCAAATATTTCAAGGTCAAAAATGAGTTTCAGACGTTCATTTGTTCACTTTTTTTTTGGGTAAATACCTTCTCCATCATTTCATGTGAATTAATAAATCAATTACTGTAAAAGAAATAAACTTGAACTAAGATTTTTGATAATAATTCTATTGTTTAATTTACATGATAAAATTGTAACCTATAGATTTTACAGCCTACGTACATTCGTGCTTCTCTTTCATTCAATGTCCTTCATTGCATCCTGCAAACACAAGGAAAATACAGCTTCAGTATATTTTAAAGTTCTGTAATATCCGAAGTAACTGTAATAATTGTTTTGAAGCTTATAGGATTCAAACGCAGATAGCATCAGCATCATAGAATACAATTTCTGTTTAACTCTATGACAGACTGACAGCAGAAGTTCTAAAAAAATCTAGTAGTAGCCCATAAACTTGCAATTGCAGCAAGAAAGGGCATGTAATTTTTTATTTTTTTTTCCTGTTTTCTTAATTGTCAAAAAAAAATTTGCATGTCATTCGACTGATAATCTATAAGTGTACGAGATATTAGGACTAATGACAAAGTTACCATTAATCATCACTTTCTAAGGCATTCCTCTGATTATTGGAGTTTTGAAAGAATACACTACCTCCGTTTCATATTATTTGCAACGATTTGACATAAAGTAGAGAGAAAAAATGTTTAATCATTGCAAATAATATAAAACAGAGGTAGTAATCTATTACCAGATACCAAGAGATGGATCACACTATTGTACTCTACAACAATGAAATACTCCAGAGCCCAGAGGCATTACCTTGGCCAGTTTTGTGACATAAGAAGCAGCTAGAGCTGTTGCTAATAATCCCAGCCCCAATGTAAGAAGTTGACCATTTCCTCCTGTCACACCAACACCGGTTTCTTCTTGCTGCACAGAAAGAATGGTACAATTAGACACTTACACTTACTCGGGTAACCAGAAGCAGACAGCAGTGTAAGTTAAAATTTGAGTACAAATTGGACACGAAATCTTCACAGTTAAACAATAACCTAGCAGGGCAAGCAGTCCCTCCATATATGGTTTAGCATGGAAACATGATTGTTGTTATGACAGCAAATCAGACTCCACAATATGTTCAGAAAAGAAACAGGGCAAGCAGTCCCCTCCATATTTGGTTTAGCATGGAAACATGATTGTTGTTATGACAGCAAATCAGACTCCACAATATGTTCAGAAAAGAAACAGAACAAATGAAGTTGTCCAGGCAACTACTGCAAATGAATATCAACTTTGTTGAGGCCTGAGGGGCTAATTGAATCCAGAATATTTTAGACCAAATTAAATTTGGCAAGATCTGTGTCAGCTCTTTCAACAATTGCTTGAGAGAGGAAAGGAGCAGTTAGGGAAGAAGAAAAATGTATGAAAATGGCATTTGAAGACTTCATGAATACAACCTAAGGCAATTCCAATACTAGGCCGCAACCCAATGTACTATCCATTTAGCTTAGGAAATCCTTAACATCTGTAATAGACTACTAATCTGACTTGTATTTCTTATACGACAAGGCTAACAAATAAAGATAAAAGCTTGAGTCTTTGATTGATAATAGCAGAAATTTAGATACAAAAGGATAGGTTAATAGCTTGAGGCTATTACTCTTTTGTTAACTTTAGGTTATCACTCTCCTAGTAACTTGAGGTTACTACTCTCAACATATTTCCTCAGAATTACATAATGATTTACTACATACCCTATCCCCTATTTATACTAAAGCTACAGACTACTAACCTTATAATACTAGACTTCCCAAATCGACCCCTTTAAGGTTATCCCTATATTAAAGGTACTAATAACATCATTGAAGGCAAATTTTGAATGGGTACATGTTCTTTGAAATTTCTCTTCTTTGATCTAACAGGTGAAAATAATGAACCAAACATATATCACCACAATCACTGCAATATCAATATAATTATCACCTCATCTCCTTCTAAGCTAAAATACTAAATGTCCTAAGACAGTAAGAGCCCTTCCCAACCTTAACACTTTGCTTGGATAAGGAAATGGAAAATATTGGTGGGGGGGGGGGGAGAGGAAGGGAAGGGAACACCTTTTCATACCCTTCCTTTCCCCTTTATCTAAATATCCAAGAAAAAGTGTAACATTTGACAGCATAGCAATATGTTGACTATGTAAAATACTTCTGTACCATATGGCAATATGTTGACTCCAGAGAAACTGAAAAGGGTAATGAGGGGTAAGAAAATAAGAAAAGGAAATTTCTTGAATAAGTATAGGGAATGAAAGCCAATTCCCCTTAACAATATTGGATAATCTTTAATTTATTCTCACTTCCTATCACCATCCTAACAGGCACCCTTTTCTCTTTCTCTATCACTCTCAAACTCCTGAACCAAATATCATAACCACCAACTCGGCAACAGATCATGGTCTTCTCTCTCTTATTCATACAACTACATCACTAACATTTCGATTCTTATTTATATATTTATACAGATCCCTTATATATAGGTTTTCATCACCACTGGCCTATTCAGGACTCTCAGGCAACCTTAATTGGAAAGCAAGTATCTTTCAACTGATGTAGACAAAGTGGAAATCCAAAATCTATGTGGAAAATACAGAGTTGCAGACTTGCAGTGTTGGTAGTTGGGCTACGACAGATTGTTGGGTAGAGCTAGAGTTGATGCCCATGAGATTTCGGATAATCGAGGGGATCAAGCAGGTGGTTTGGATAGCTTCAGGTTAATAAAGGAGCTGGATGTGGTGCGTTTCTGTAGAGGGAAAGTGCACAGGGCTGTTGGTTTGGGTGGCAATAGAAGATCAGACTGGTGGATGTTGGGATGGGACATGGAATGGAAAATGGTGATAGTGGGTAAAACTGTAAAAGCATGGCAATATGGCAGTCCTGTCAAAGGAGAGGTGAGGGTGGGTTTGGGGTAGGTGGTGCAATGTGAAAGATCCCATTGTAGGGAATTAAAATACCAAGAGGTAGGGAACAAAGAAGAGGGAATTCAGATGAACACACTAAGGAGAAATGGAAATGGAAAAAGGAAAGGGAAAGGGAAAATCATTTACTCATAAAAGAGGACAAGAGTATCAATTTCCCCTGAAGGCTTGCTTGATAACAAACCAGCCCCTGATAAAAAGTAAGGGTGCTCTAAAAACAATTTCAGTTCCATACACTCAGCAACTAAAGCCAAGATACTCAGCTTAATTTTCATACATAATATAAGGGGAGGTAGTATTGTTCCAAAAGATAACCACTTTCACAGTTCACACCAACTATCAGTAACTACTGTTTTAACCAAAAGTCACCAAGAACTTTTTCATTCCCATTTCCTATATCTCAACTTGGGTGGAAAAAAATACTTCAGGTAGATACTTGGTAACAATAAGAAAGGAATTTGTGTATTTTTTTTTTTTTTTTTTTTTTTTTTTTTTTTTTTTTTTTTGTGAAGGAACTCACAATAGAAGTCAAGTTATAGAATGCTACTTACAATAATCGCCCGACCAAAAGCTCCGGCATTCACATACGCCCATGTCCCTGGAAGCATCCCCAACCAACTGCATGATATTGAGTGCTGAGTTAGTATGTTAGCAATTGAGTCTAGATAAATAACTTCAGGCAACTTTATCATCAGCTTTTAGCACCACATAGATGCTTGAAAAAACAATAAAATAATGAGCTTGATATGCAAAATATGCTAGTGCTAGTAAAACTGTTTTCACATCACTGGAAATAACAAGACAGCAGTTACATGCACATTAAAGAATAAAGATGATCCAACAATTTCACTGAAAATGTAATTGCAGATCATTGAAACTACTGTATACTTGCAATAATTCAATAATAAACATCAAACAAAAACCCAATAGATAAACTATACAGTGTACACTAACGGATATGGAAAGGACCCAAAAGCACAATACACAAAGACAGAGGATATGTCCTTTCGCCACACTATATGTCTCCACACATTGTTTTCAAGGTGCACATCTTGAACACGAGTGCTGCACTTACAGCTTAGATCAGGAATGTTTACTCATAAGTTACATTTGGACCCTCTTCTCACTTTTGAATTGTAATGTTTAAAGCTTTCAAGAAAACATCATCAATAACACACTCTAGGATCTTGTTGCTTCAACAAAGCTTTTACCAAGAGCTTAGCCACAAGTCTAAGGACAAGCTTCTAAACCACCAGTTGCAGCCCAACAAGGGTATTAGATAAACGCAGCACTCACTAAAAACCATTTACCACCACAACTAAATCAAAAGGCATAATAGTGAGATAACAAGAAGCAGACCTTGCCAAAACATAGGGGACAAATTTGACGGACGTAAGTCCATACAAGTAATTCCCTAGGGAAAAGGGAAGCAAGGGACTCAAGCGAAGGAGGGCAACAATTCTGAAACCATTCTCTCCAATGGCTTTATCAATTGCTTTGAACTTTTTGTTTCCTTCAACAAGTTTCAATATTCGCTCACGGGCAAAGTATCTTGCAATTAGAAAAGCAATGCTTGCTGCTAACTGAAACAGAAACAACAGAAACCTAAGGATAATTAGCAAGAATCTTTGCATTTGGTTACACAAAATAGAAAGGAAAGACAAAAAAAAACTCACTGTTCCACTTATGGAAACAAGTACAGTTCCAGTGACAGAACCAAATAAAAGACCGGCAGACATTGTCAATGGAATAGCCGGAATTGCAAGAACCTAAAAGAAATGGCATAAGATTAGTTTAAGGAAACAGCATCCAATCCAACAAGCTCATAGGATGACCAAATCATTCATGGATTAGTTCCTAGATTAAGATTCCACTAGCTGGATTCTTCCAATAAAAACTTTTGGTGATAAGAAAGACATAGGGGGATAACAAACCTCAAGTCCGGCATATACAAGCACAAATAATGCATATCCTGCTGGCCCATAACCTGTATACTGAAAGTACTCCATGAGAATCAGGATCAAAAAATTTACAAAGGATACGCAATATTACTCCAAAATTATATAATATAATGATCAATTCCTTCACCCCCAAATCAATTATCAGTCCATCACATATACTCCCTCCTCACCTCACATCACTAGTTCAACTAAACTACCAACAAGACTCTAAACTCCAAATGAAATAAGTACCATGTCAAATTGTCCATAAAAAGTATTCACCTTCCCTAAAATAGAAAAACATAATTGGTCATTGGATTTTCTATTTTCCTAACATTTCCTATCTTAAATCAAGTGAACCAAAGCAAAAACTTAACACTCAAAATGGACTCCAAACATATGCTCTCCTTTCGAACTTAGTTGTCACATTATTAGTTCAAATTATACAACCGACATGTCTATTAATTCCATATGAAGTGATTATCATTTCAAGATGTCCGGAAAAAGTTGTCATAGTCCCTCTAACATTTCCTTAATTATAGCAATGAGTCCATCCGCCACAAACAACATTCACATATACCTCCTTCCTTACATTACTCGTTTGTAATAATTCAGAATGTCCGAAAAAGTTGTCACATTCCTAAAATAGCAATATATGATTGATAACTGAATTTCCTAATATATCCTAACTTAAATTAAATGAACTGAAAGTCTGAAACGGAATAAAAACTAAACAATAAAAACAGAAATTACCTTCAATCAACGTAGAAAACTGAGTCAAGAAACTATTAATCTGATCCCTATAAAAATACCCAGCTGCTCCAAACCCACCAACAACACCAACTAACAACAACCCAGCAACAATAGTACCTTTAATGGCGGTATCACCTTCCAATTCACCCTCTTCCACCCCATCTTTCGAACCCGAATCATCGGATTTCGTATCATCATCTTCTGGTTTTGGATTCCAATTCAACAAACGTCGAAGACTTTGAGGAGGAGGAGATTTCTGAAGAGTAGTTTGCGAAGTTTGTTGCTGCTGTTTCTTCGAAGAAGAACAAGAAGGACTCAGAAATTGAAACCGCCGCGTCAACCTGCCGCAGGTTCTGCTACTTCTGGTGGTTGTAGGTGGGGGAGAGAGAGAAGAAGACGGCGAATTGGAGGAGGAGAGAGAAGAAATGTATGGTGATGGTGGTCTTAGGATTAAGAGACTCCGCATTTTTCTGGGTTTTTGAGACCCTTTTTGTTCAGTTTTCTTGCTGAATTTTTGTTGAATTTTTCTGGGAAAGTTCAAGAGAATGATGAAGAAGGTGGTGGAAGAAGAGTGAGTGCCATGGAAATATGAGTGGAGGTCTGTTTGACAAAAGTGTAGTTCGAAGTTTTAGGAGGAGCAGTGTTAGAGTGATCTTCTGGAGGGTGCTCTGGGGAAAAGGAATATCCCTGCTTATACTGACCACAATTTTCCTTCATCTAGTAATCTTGTAGTACGTATGTCTCTATGGGAGTTATTAGGAGACGTCGTGAACGGGTCGTTTTAGTTGAGTTTGGGTCAATTTATTTGGTTCTACTCAAGTAATAAGATGAATTGGTTTTCTTTCAATTACGGCTTTGTTTGGTTGACGTGGAAATTAAATTTTCATAGGAAATTGCATTTATGAGAAGTTATTTCCCTCGTGAAATTCTGAGGAATTTCCTAAATTTATTTGGTTGGCAATATAGAAATTAGGAAATCCCATAATCTCGTGATTTTTTATTGACTTAGGGGAGACTAGGTAATTTACTTCTCTTTGTTTTGTGGGATGTTAAAATTCCACCAGTTTTGTTTTTTTGTTTCAACCAAACAACTTCTCAATTTATCAAATCCCATGAATTTTCATTTCCCTCATTTTATATTGTCAACCAAACTAGGCCTACGTATTCATGTAACTTGTAATAAAAAATAGTTCAAATTTAGTTACATTGATTTTTGTTAGGGTTATCTAGTTTTGTATGTTATTTCAATTGGGTTGTATTTTTAACACAGATTCACGAGTCATCTATTTATACAAGTTTAGACTCTAAATGGTGGAATACAATTACCTAATAGTTGATAAAGTATTAGAATTAACCTATGAGAAATGGATTGAATCTTATATACGTCATTGTCAGTATATAATCTATTAAGGACTTTGTTTCCTAATACAGTTTTTCACCGTATGTACCGATATGGCCTATTCATAATACACCCTAATTTATTCAAAATTCGACCCTAACTTGAGAAATACGGAGTAATCTTAATGACAAACGATCATCAAGTTTTGGCCATTCAACCCTAACTCGAGAAATTCAATACAAAAGCTTTCATACGGGACAACTTTCAAAGCCACCTATCATAGCTTTTCGTTGTTGCTACTGCATCAATTCTCCCAAGCAAACTAGCCACCTTGCCCTCACCCACAAGGCTGCAGCCATGACAGTGATTAGTGGTGACGACCGTTCCTTAAAAATATAAATTCAAGGAAAGATTTTCTGAACACCAAAGAAGGAACTTCTTAAAGGCACTTCATGTAGTTAACCAAATTGTTTAAAGCACTTTCCAAAAATAATACACAGTACAACTATAATTTTCTACAACTTTTACAGCAAGAGGAAAAAAAATAAAATAACTTGAAACGTCAAACATCCTAAACATTAAACCGACTATAAATCTATCTTTGCAGAAAATAATCTTACCTAATGCGTATCTAACTTCTCACCTGAAACAAGCACAAACTCGAAAACTGAGTAATAAAAACCAGAATGGAAGGCCAAATGTGTGCCTGCAACGGTATTGACGTATTGTATACTCATATGTTTCATATGCGACCAACATCTTAATACTAAAACCAAACCAGCATACACAGCAAGGCCTAATCCATTCTTAGGCAGTTTCCAGTTCTTGTAGGTCACCATTTCCTGCATGTTTGCTCTTAAACTTTAACAAGGTTAAGCCTGGTTTCTGTATAGAAGCTGCCAGTTGCTGAAGCTGATTGCTGACTGTGGCTTGCAACTGCTGAGGACAGAAGCGGTCACGTCTTTCCAGAATTTCAATTGCAGAGTTTGCCACAACGCTTATCTATGAAAACACAGTTAAGTTCATTCTTGATCAAGAAGCCCATATAGTCTTAAGTTGTTAATAAAATAAAAAAACAACGGCTAATAGAATACAAAAACAACGGCTCATAGAATACAAAAACAACGGCTAATAATTCATCAGATACAAAGATATACAGATGCAATTATGACCAAGTCCAACACTACTACTTGACATGTTAACTAGCAAATACTCCATAACAATAAAGCAAGTTTGTGGACAAAGTGTACTGAGCAGCTTGTAGGCAGTTACTGACAAACTTTGCAATTGCATCAGCCCTCAACAAACAGAAGGGTAAGGTTTTGTAAGTTACATAATGAACATTGTACTTCACAGCAGTAAGTTCACCATCAAGCAAAAGCCATATGCTGATAAGGTATCCAGGAATGGTCATCAATTTAATTAAAGCAATAAAGGCAGAATTTATGTCTTACCTAAACAAAAAAACTAGTCAAATATGGCCAATATGTGGTTGTTTGGTTCAAGGGAAGGAAAATAAATCAAGACAGAAAAGGAAAGGAAAGAAATGAAAGGCCTTTCAATTTACCCATGACTATTTTGGGAAGAGGAAGGAGTATCGAAATCATTACATTGTGTTTGGTAGACCAATTCAATCAAATCCCTACCACTTCTCCCTTTCTGGCTTGCTCTATGCACCCCAAAACCTACTTTTATCTCCCCACTTTCTAACTCTACCACATTGACTTTAGTGATCAGACTGGACCACCTAAGAATGATCTGCCGGATAAAGGCCAAATTCTAGGATAGGGTTTACCAAAAATGACATACAGGGCGCTGAACCGAACCAGTGGGTTGATTTTTCAGAGATCTTTTTTTGAATTAAAAAATATAAAGGTGCACTCTAGCAAAGTGGTGTTTTCTTGGATAGAAAGACCTGGAAATGGAAGTTCACGACTAGGATGGTCACTGCAGTCGGTTACAGAGTTAATATAGTGGTGGTGGATATGAAGTTTGGAACAAGGATACTTTAATTGTCATGAAACATGGACATGGACATGGTATAGTCATAGTGTGAAAGCAGATGAAGTTGATATAATGAGCCCTCCTGTTGGGTAGAGTAGGGGCAAGCAAGATGATTCTGGTGGATGTAGGGTGGTCTGGCAATGTCTGGAAGAATGATACTCAGATGTTTGTACTGCTAGGATATAAAGTAAATGTTAGCGCTGGGGAAGAGGGAGTACTGGATAAGGGGACCTGTGCTCTGTTGATGTTGAGAAACTCCATTTCCCTTCAACTAAGGGACTTAGTTTTGTATCAGGAATACAGGATTCAAGGTTAGTCATAATGTTGGAACTGCATAGAAAATCCTAGGGTTTCTACGAGCTGTATAACTGTAATATATTACTATTGGATTTATTATACTATCAATATGGAAATTGGTGGATATTTGGATTTAAGCTTGTCTTTAGTTTCTGGGTCAATCAATCAGAAATTACTTACTACTCCCTCCGTCCCTTGATACAAAGCCTTATTTCCTTTTTGGGTAAACTAAAATACAATGCCTCTTTCTATTTATAGGTTGTATATTTGGACATTATTACCCTCTTTTTCATGAGTTGTCATCCTTTTTCCTTTACTTTTTTGTTCTTTTAAGTTTTAACATCAATTCCCAACACTTTCTCTCTCTATCTCTTAATTATTCCCATACATTTTCTTTTTCTCTATCTCTCTCTAACCCCACATGTACATATTTACTTTTAATCATTAGTTTTTATGAAATTAAAACTTTCTTAATTCCCGCACAAAAACCAAAAGAGGCTTCGTATTAAGGGACGGAGGGAGTAATTGTTAATCTCTTCTGTCAAACTACCAAGTATGTTGAAATTGAAACTTCAATGCAACTAGATGAGTGCGAGTGTGGCAAGAGAAGGTCTACACATTGTCCTGAGATTGGACACAGGTGCAGGGCATGACATTCACGAACATATTCCCAATTCTAAAATGAGGTTTACATGCATTTTCATGTAAGAAATATGTAATGGATTTGTTTGCAAATTCTTGTAAAATTAGATGTCAAGCCAATTTAAGTTATCCGCAAGCAAGTGTTGAGAAAGGTTCCCTCTCTTATAACATTTGGATCTCTATAATCTGAATTCAAAAATGAAGTCTCAGACTAGTCAGTCTTATCCTACCAGTTCTCAACTTCCCGGCTTGCCGCTCAATCCTTCTACCCTATTAGAGAATCTACAGTTAACAAGAATGCCTTATTAGCTGGTCAAATTCTGATAGGATAGCTCAACAAAGTTGTCAGCATATGATCTGGCAACTTGCTCATCAGTCAAACCCAAATAACTGTCTCCACTTTAATACAGAAATGTATCAACCATAATTCACGAAAAGGACAGCAGTGAAGGTTGCAAATGAACTTCATGTTAACTAAGGTAAAAAAAGAGCTCTGTTAGGCTCACTTTGATGGGCAGGAAACCCATCTCCTAAGACAAGGGGAAAACTTCATCAAAAAGAAAATAGTGACAAGCTGCGAGATGATTGAACTAATTAGGTTGAAAAGGAAGTAAGGAACCGACATATTCATAGATAACTCGCGACTACTGACTAGGCTCGACTAAAGCTTTTGGTCAAAGATAGTGTGTAAAATTGAGAAATGATATAAAACCTCTATTATTTAACACAACTGAACTTGTCAGAAGCCCCTACAAACCATGAAATTTGACTTGTCAGAAGCCCCTACAAACCATAAAATTTGTTGAACCAATGTAATTCATATCAAAGGCACAGTTGAAAATATTTCCAGCAACAAAAAATGCACCTTCACTCTCCTCATTTAGCCCGCTATTGCATCACTAATGCATAGGTCCACTAAAAAAAAATTAGTCAACAAGCATATTTTTCAACCTTCAATTCTAGAAGCACTCGTGTCAACAAGACAAATGTGGGTATGAAACAATAAAAGAAATTTTGTAAGAAATATCTTCATCTATATCAAGAACTCTATAAAGAATAAACCACAGTTATACGTAATTCGATTCAATCCCATTTTCTATTCCATCTCATACCATAGCGTCAATATTCACATGATACATGAAACACTGATAAAACTAAAAAGTTTTGGAGTCACGAATTCAAACTATAATTAAAATCTCTCATTCCAAAATCTTACACTAAACACAAAAGCTTAAATTTCATTATGAAATATTCAGCAATATAGATGTAACACAGAGAAACCAAAACCGTTGCTAAAACCAAATTAAGGTCCAAATAAACAGAGCTTATACAATAAAGTACTGCTAATTAAAACATGAAATTCCCAGGTATATTTAGCCACAAACGATTTTAACAGGAAATTAAGCAGTAACAAGCAAAGAAATTCTCACCGAATTAGAGGCCATTTCTAGCAACCCTTTTGCAATTGGGACGATGCAGAACCTAATTTTAACCATAAAAAATCAGAAAATCATGAACAAATGACGCAATTGGTAAAATTAAAATTATCAAAATTAAATTGAGAAATTGTAGGTAAATTACATTCCACGGCCACCAGCAAGAGCTTCTTCAGATGGGTTTTTCCATTCATCAATTCTGACCCCAAAAATGATTGAAAAAATAATAATCAAAATTTAGCCAATAATTCATAGAACACGAATTTCAGAAAGAAAAAGGAGGAGAGAGACTGACACCCAACCGTAGCGGCGGTCGAAGAGGAGGCGCTTGGTGGTGGAGGTGGTTGGCATGGTGGTGGAGTTTGAAGTAGTATTTGTGAATGATAATTGAGTGGTTTTGAATTCCATGCCTTTTTCTTCCTTCATCTCTCGTCCACTCTATCAAGCACAAGCACAAGCACAAGGACAAGCACAGAAGCACTCGTCATTTTATTAAGACTACTCTGTACTCCGTAGAATTTAAGGGGAACGGGATGTATTAGGGGATAAAGAGGGGCATGGCCACATGGTCCAAGCCGTGTAGACTTATGTGTCGTGACAGTGCGCTCAAGCGGGTCGGGTTTTGAATAGAGAATGACAAAATCATGACATTTTGGGCTCATGTCGATCTTTTATAAACATAACCTATTCATGAGTTGTGCTAACGTAGTAATGCTTGCGGACCTATGTGTAGTATATGTTAAATAGTACTTTGTAGGTCGATTTTATCGTGTTCGTGCCAAATTTATAAAATGACATATGCTTTAGTAGCATAACTCTTGTGTGCGTCATACCAGGTTTGTGTTGTGCCTAACCGTCCCTCATATCAACCGATCCATGTTCATCTATATTATAGGAGATTTTCATTTTTTTTTTCAAGTGCACATTACATTAAATGGCAAATGTCCCTCCTCACCCGTCACATATTAGCTCTAAATAACTTTTTTTCTTTTCTAAAAGTCATCTACTCTCTCTATCCCTAAATGATTTTCATGTATTTATTATTTGCGACTACTCACAATTCTTTTACTACATCCGTTACATATTATGTGCAACAAAAACATCGACACAGACTCCTAGACAAAATTTGTATGTGAGTGGTAAATGGAGAGAGAAATATAAAAAAAACATGTGATGAGGAGAGAGATATAGAGAAATGACAACCAATAAAAGGAAAGAAAACAATTGTTGCAAATAAAGTGTGGCGTCTATTTTTACTTTTTTTTAGTAAATGTTGCACATAATATTAAACAAAGGTAGTACTTTTAATGTACTTTATGTACTTTTTTTCTCTTAAAGTTTAATTTTCGTGAACTTTGACAAACTGTGAAATAGTGAGATCATTTAGAAACCAGAAGAAGTATTATACACGACTGACTAATCATAAATACTACCTCCGTTACATATTACTTGCAACGATTAGACATTTTTCCTCTCCACTTTATGTCAAATCGTTGCAAATAATATGCAACGGAGGTAGTACATAAATTCGTAATCTTAATTTAGAGACCAACTTCGGAATTCCATACAATCCTCTACAAGGGTTTAAAAAATATATACTCCATAAAATTAAAATTAAAATTATCAAAGAGGAATTCCCAATTTGGTAATTTCCTATAATTCCATACATTATCTCTGTACAGAAATTTGAACAAGTGAACTCATTCTCGCGCTCTTCCCACACCACCTCTCTCTCTCTCGCGCGCTCTCCTGCAGCAGAGCAGTTGCTCAGCATCAATGGCGGATTTCGGAAGAAATTACAGAGCTCAACCATCTCGAACTTCATCTGACTATTCAAATCAGACTGGTAATTTCCTTTTCCTTTACTCTTTCATTCAATTTTTCAGGTCAATTGAAATAACATAAATCGCATTGCCAATTGATTTCCGCCATTGTAGTTTTACAATTGTTGATTTCAGTTATTTTCCGCCTTATTTTCAGGATCAATGTGAATTTTTATGTGCTAATTCGCAATTTAATCAGCGATTTTGCGATATTAATCGCTCTCCTTAGTAGGTCTGGCAAATAAAATTAATCGTCATAAAACTCATAATGTTCTATTTCTTCAATATATTTGCCAAATTATGCTCTAATTACAGTGTATATTTTCAAATAATATATTTAATGCAAAATTAGGTTCGATAAGCATGTTTGATGTGAAGGTGTGATGAACAAAACTATTGATTAGTCCTGATATTTACAATTTGATATGAGTTGCTAGTTTCCTGGATTTATGGAAGTAATGAAAGTAATGGAAGGTTCTTAATAATCTTTTGAGCAAACAATTACCAACATTATCTGTGAACGTATTGAACTATATAATTGAGTAGTAAGGGTTGTAAACGCCGTAACACTAGTAGTGCAATGAGACTCGTAAAATGATTTTGGCTAGAATGAGGAAGACAACCTGGGGAAATTGGTTAAATGGCTGTATTTTGTTGAGAAAATATTGTTGTTTTGGTAGGAGTTTTTGCTTCTTGTATAATGTCTTGCCTTTATAGAAATCATGAAGTAAGTAAGCCGAATTCTGTCATTGCTCAGGTAGTAGTGGGGTATGTATGATGAGCAACAAGTGGAAAGAAGAGCAACATCCATCCTTCATCAACTTCATCTTGACATTCCTCAGTGCAAACTCTTTCCGGTTTAATATTGTCCCTATTGCACCTGTAATTCGCTTGTAACTTTTCATAATCTGTCATTTTTTTTGAATTACTTTTCGCTAAGCACTCCATGTTGACATATCATCTATGTTAGTAGGATTTTATTTTCAACTGTGGCGGAGTGTCAGTGGCTTTTGTCTTTGTCACTTCTTGGGATTGCAACAGCTCCACACAGATGTACAGCAGGTTATATATATATTTTTTTATTATGGCTTCTGTTAAACTTTATTGTAGGAGTTCTCTCATTCTCTGACTGTGATATTGATTTATAGGGTACATAAGCTGAAGGAACAATTTGCATACCTCTATGTTGTTGTCACCCTCCCAACTAAGGAGCAAAACGATTCCTTTGTTCGCTCTTACTTCAAGTGAGTCCCTGAATTTACTGTACTCATTTGATTTAATTTTATTGCACTCAACTGGAATTGAAGTCTCTTTGTAATTTATTTTATTGTTATTTTGTTTGCTTTGTGAAGGAGTGGAATTGATATTGGAAGGCCTACATTTTTGCCAGTTCTTGATTTGGAGATGGGTTTTGAGAAAATTGTGAAGATTGCTCATGCCCGCGGGGGTAAAGAATTTTCTTTTTGAAGTTTGTCTGATGTCAGTTTTGTTATTGATTGTTTGCTCATTCTTTTTTTGTTGACCGATGAAAATCCTGCTCAGTATGCAAGCAACAAGATATCATAGCACGGATGAAGGCTGAGGTTAGCTCCTTTGAGTGGAATTATGCTCTAATATATGACTACTTAATGTGATGTTTTTTCTTTTTCTTGAAGAGGAAACAAGCTGTGGAAGGGATGGATGCTTTTCTCAGGGTAGTCACATCTATACCTGGCATAGACAACCATGATGCAAACTCGGTAAAATAACATTAGATCCCACTTTGCCTTTATTTCTGTTAGAATAAAGAATCCATTTTCCTTGGCATTAAAAACTTATACATTTCGTGTTGAAAACTTGAATAAGGTTCAGAATATGAGCAAATGGTTTCAATGATTGTCCAGTGCAAAAAGATTATCTTCTGCAACGAAAGATTATTAATGGTATTATATACCCATTGGTAAATGACAATTTGCATGCTATGTCTTGCTTGTCCATGAAGAATTAATTTGGATTTTGGAGGAAGTGTAGATATTGTTGGATGGCTTGGACCTGATGAAGTTAACTAGAAACTGAGAAGACTACTTTGGTTCCTGAATTTTAATTTATATCATTGAGCCCCATACCTCTCCACACACCCTCATCCCTCCAACCTAGTCATAATTCTCATAAATAATGAAAATGACCAGAACATACTTCCCCGAGAGGAGAATATCTGTTACCAAGCAAAAGAAAGACATCTTGGATGAAGGGGGTTTAGTGCTAGAAAAGGAGAGGTACCAAGAGTGGTGATATCCACATTATAGCTAAAATTTGGCTTACATCATTATTTCACTAGTTTCTGTATGATGGTGAAAGTATGTATGTTAGACTCTGCTTGTTGACCAGAAATGCTAGGAATTGATTCTGGTCATTTCTATATACAAGAGTTCTAGCCTTATGCCGTGGAATGAAAATCTGGAGGAAAAAAAACTCCCTCAGGTTGGAGCCCTTAGAACCATGTTAACCAAGCAGCTGTTTTAGTAGTGTGGTAGTATTAGGGGGTGATGGAACTGTTTGTTTATGAGGGATGGTCTGGATGTATTACCTTGGACCTCTGAACACTAACTTTCTGTACTTATTGCATGCTATTCTACAGAAAAAATGAACATTAGTTCCTAATATTTTCCATTGATTTATGTATGACTAGCTTTTGCAGTTGGATGAGTAAAGATTCTACTGACTGCTGAGGCTAGTGAATGTTTAATTAATTTAGCGAAAAATGTTAGCACATAGATGATCAATATATTAACTATAGGGATGCCAGACCTATATTTCAGATAGTGAAAATAGTGTCAATTGTCGTTGATGTTCTGCATGGATGCATACAATTATACTCTAACTAGTTATGAACATGGAACTAATTATCCTCTCTGTCCAGCTCAATCAAGCTATCGGGTCTATAGAAGCAATAGCAAAAGCATCAAAGGAGTATATTCTGGAAAACACCGACCTTTCAGCTGAGAAGGCAGAAACTATTTGGAGATTTTTCAGGGATCCAAAGTACTACCTCAGTCCAAAAATTAATTGAGTGAAGATACCAAATTAGAGGTATTAAATATTATCTGCTTGCTCTAAGTTATCTATACGACTATACTACATTGACTATTGATGTTCCAAATATCGGTCTAGAGTTTCTTTAGGTTTTGAGCAACTAGAAGTTCTAGCAATAAATCACCATCAAAGTTAAGTCAGCAGTTAGTTGAAATTTGCACTAACGCAGTGGTTAAGTAATCTGATTATGTTCAACCGTTCAACAATGACCACCCATGCTGTCTGATTGTTATTTGCATGTTCTATCAGTCTGGAAAAAAAAAAACATCTAGAATACTGCGTGGCTGGCACTATGTTTGGCCCTGTCAATGCCTGCTCTTTTGGTTTGTTCTTAATTTATTTCACTTGTGACTCGTTCATTTTCAGGCAATAGAATGAGTGTATAGTCGCGGAAATTCTAATCTACTAGCTACTTGAGGAAGATGAAAATTTGCACTTAAGGAAGAAACTGTTAGCACAAATTGACCAAAATTTATGCTGATAAATGTATATTTGACTTTTATAACCTCTCTCTCAGTTTTGCTTCACTGTAAAAAGAAAGGGTTGAATCAATCAGACAATGCACTCAGGAAGCTACCACCTAACCTGTTGGACTGGGTTTAGCTGGAGCATCATTGTTTAATACTTTAATAGACAACAATGCTCTACTTAGTAGTAGTTGTCATATTCACTAATCAGAATGAATAAAGGAAAATAAAAAATGATGTATCATATCGGACAAAACATCCTTGTGGCTTGGAGCTCTTGTGTGTAGGGTGCATGGATTTATGAACCAGTTTCTTACATACACTTGGGTGTACGATGTATCTAAAAGAGAAGATATAGTTCTTACTCCCTTAGCCCATAACATACTACGGCTTTGTTTTGGCTTGCAAGTAAAATGCTCCATGGTCCAAAGACCACAGCTATAATTTTTGCCGATGATGGTATTTAGCTTGCGCCCGGATGATTTGAAATAATCAATCATAACTTCATAAGTAAAGAATGTTAGACTTGTTGAACTCAATCTGTAAAATAGTACACATAGTTTTTACTTCCCAATAACAAAATTCAACTTGCCTGACAAGTTAGGTAAGTAACGCCTCATATTTTAGACAGTAAATTAGACTATGAACAAAGAGCTGACTTGGTTAAGGAAACAGAGACTAGTTAAACTAGTTATGTAATCCTTTTTACATGTGCACTCATTAAAAAATTGAGAGTGCATATAGACATTTTCCATTCTATCTTAGTATCTTACTTCGTCAAAAACTGTTATAAGTGCTTATCGATCTAGAACCCTATACAGCTCAATCTAACTTAGCTTAATCTGCTAGACCCCTTTGGAGTGGAGTTAGGAGAGGGGGAAGATTAAAGGAAATTTCCACCTCAAAGTGCCCTTAGGTGTTTTATTCTTTCAATGTTATACAACACAAACTTTAATCACTATAAAGTAGAATTTTGTAATTTTGTATACTTCTACTTCACACATTAGATTTTTAGCCGTCCAACTGGTTTTATATGAAGCCCTTTTCTTTCTGCAACGGTTTTAGATTACATGAAGTATCGGACACTTCATGATTGACCACCGGCCACCTAAATATCATGCACCAATAACAACCCATGATTTTCCCTCCTCGAAACGTCCAATTTAATCGATACGGACTTTATGAAATTAAATACTTGTATAGGAGATGTCGTGCATGTTAGCTTTTGTTGTCGTTTTCAATAGTACGACCTTGGCAATTCGGCGGATAGTTTTGTGCCTTTTATTCAACGATTCTTTATGCATCCATACAAAAAAGTCTACCTTTATGATCGAATTAGAAATTAGAATGCGTCACCTTACAAAGACCATTTCCATCTTTCCCTTAACCCAAAGAAAGCTTCCCATTCAATTCATTCCCTCCTTTTCATTCTCTCTTCTATGAGAAACGTGCATTTGTCGCGATCATATGACCGTGACAAACTGACAACCTTCTCTTCTAACCCGGATTTTGACCCGTCTAATATATACCATGGATTATATAAGTAAAAGTGTACAACAACTCTTTTCTTGTATTAGATATTTATTTGTCAAGCTAAGTTAGCTTAAGGTTATGGGTTATATATATATAACTCACAAGTTATGGTAGATGAGAATTTCCTAAGGTTTTTCTCCTTTTATTGTCTAGGACGTTAGTTTTGTTTAGTGTCTTTTTCGAGTGATAATAATGGAAGCCGTTCCTATGCCACTTCATGTCCCTCTATCATCTCCTTCTTCGTTCCCATGGGTTACTGATGTTATGGTTCATCAACTTGGAGGGCATTTACATTCCTCGCTTTCACAGGGGAATGAATCATTTGACGTTGGTAATGTCAATGCAGTGCCATTAGTTAAGTCGCGAAAGAGGCCTGCAATGCTAGTCTTGCCTGAATTTAGCCCTGAGAATGTGTTTTTTTCGGAGAAAAGGAAGATTGAAAATGTTGAAGTTGCAATCCAAGGGAGGGAATATTGTGTGTTTAGTAAGAAAGGAAGGCGAGAGCATATGGAAGATCGATACAAGGTCGTTACTGACATTTCTAGTGACTCTAACCAGGTACATTATCACCACCCTTAAACCTTTCTCATTTAGTTGATTTCATGCAAAAAAAAAAAACCAAATGGTTTTCCTTAATTTGTCCCTAAAAAACTCCTAAAAACTCTATGATAGTCATCCTTAAAATGACTATGAGTACCATTATACTACGAGTAATAGGCTGATTTTAATCTATTTTTTCTGTCAAAATTAAGAATAAATGTTTTTTCTTATTTTGAAATTTTGGGAATAATCATTGAATGAGAACATAATAATGAAATGTAGAATGTAGATGGAATGAAACGAACAAAAAGTGAGAAAGTATTAAAGAAAAATTCATATCGCTCGTACGAATGTAATAAGTCTTACTAAATTGCAAATTAGATGGTGCACCCAGTATTGAGTTTTAATTTGTACGGGACATTGATGATGGTTTAGCGATTATTTATATCATAATGATATCCGAGGTGAAATGTTTTTTAGAACATAGGACAAGGGAGTAATATCAAAATATTCTAAAGTATTGTCCTGATTGTCATCCATACATACTAATTATGTGGATGTTTATTATGTAACGGAGGGAGTACGTTATGATGATAATTTGTTTCAATAATTGATGTTTGTATTGTAACGTTGGAAAAACAGGCATTTTTTGCTGTTGTTGATGGTCACGGAGGCCAAGCTGCAGCTGATTACGTTGCAGATAACTTAGGGAAAAACATTCTGAATACACTTGAAAACCTTAAGGAAGAAGATCAGCAAGAAGTGGATCAAGCCATACGCAACGGCTACTTGGAGACTGATAGAGGATTCCTTAGTCAGGTAAATTATTGAACCATAATTAATCTTCTGTAATCCGTTTGTATGTAACAATAACAAGCATTTACAATCATTGACCGTGTCAAAGCGTCTACGTTACAAGAAAACGGCTGTATACATTGATACATATAATATTATTGACTTAGTCTATGCATTGAATAAAATGTACTTCAATTCAGCAATTTCCTAGTTGATTCCTACGTAGGTATGATTTTTCTATATGCAATCTGTTGTATATACAACTCATTATTCATCCTACTCAGATTCGGATGTTATGTCATGCATGACTACTTTTGAAATCTCTCAATCTTCATTTTTTGAATATTAATTATGGTATTTTTGTAACAACATTATTTTTTGAATAGTATAAGATTGGAATTTTCTATTAGGAAATATGTAGGGTGTAGCTTTTGTACCCTTAATTGTATCTATATTCAATGGAGTTAAAATCCTTTTTTCCTGACTTTAGCTAGTTGATGACTACATTAAATGGTTGTTAAAATGCCTAAATTTTTAATTACCCTTAAAAATCGCTGGTTAATTTAAAGGTCAATTGAAAACAACCTCTCTATTACTATTGGCCTTGTATGTGTTGCGCACATTTGACCTCATAAGTCATAAAATTGTGTAGAGTAGCCTCCAGATTTTCTATCATACACCATTTTACTTGGTTCCACCCTCCCAATAGTACTTATCTCTCTGGGCAAATCCTTTTTGTACATCCCTTGAACTTGTGGATGATCGAGTTAGACTCTAGCATAGGATCATTCTATTAATGTACTTTGATGAGAGACCATTGCCTTATCATCGAACATAACTTATCTATGGTTCACTTAGCTTGTGAATGACCAACAGTTTGAATTAGCTTCATTACTAGAATATATGATGATGATGATGATGATGATGATGATGATGATAATCTATATTATATGTGTAAGTATTAATCAGTGTGCATGCTTTAAATGCAGGGTGTAAGTAGTGGAGCTTGTGCAGCGAGTGTGCTCATAAGGAATGGTGAATTACACGCTGCTAACGTTGGTGATTGTGGAGTAGTTTTGAGTAGAAGAGGTTTAGCAACTAAACTGACAAATGATCACCACCTAAGCAGAGAAGATGAGCGTTTTCGAATAGAAAGCACCGTAAGTGCATCTAACATTGCAGGGCCTGCAGGCCATATATAACTCTGAACTGCAGCTTTCTGTTACTCTGTAGTTAATAATCATAAAAATTAATTTTGTTTAATCATCATAAAATTGCAGGGTGGATTTGTACATAGCTGCAACGGAGTTTGGAGACTTCAAGGTACTCTAGCAGTGTCAAGAGCAATAGGAGACCTGCATTTGAAAGAGTGGATTATTTCTGAACCCGAGATTCAGAAAGTTCCCTTAACCTCAGATTGTGACTTCATTATAATGGCCTCCGACGGGCTTTGGGACAAGGTACAGAAAGAAATAATCTTTTTGATTTATAATTAGTTGGTCTTTGGTGTTGTGTGCATCCCATTTTATCCTATATATGGTGAGATAAGTAGTTTGCCGATTGTCACCCCTAACAAGTCACCCCTCAACAATATAATAAGTCATACCCTTCCAAATGCGTAGTACTTATCAGGACATATTATAAGAAGTCACCATAACATTATGTGAAAATTTGTCCCTCAAGCCTACTAATATAACAAGTCTCCAATTAGGCCATGAACAAAGAACAAGTTATCCCAAGACTGATGGGTTGCAGCATTGTCTAGAAGATCATATTGATAAGTTTGATTGCTAATTAGTACTGTATTTTTTTTAGAAATTACTAGTTTTGATTAGAAATTACAAATCCAATAACAGTCGAAATTCAGATAAAGTAAATTAATCATCTCTTGCATTTTGGTGAATATTGCACACAGGTGAGTGAACAAGAGGCTGTCGATATCGTTTCAAGGGAAGAAGCAAATGCAATGGAATCCTGCAAGAAACTTGTTGATGTATCCTTTAGCAGAGGTAACAAAGACGACATCACTGTCATAGTGATCAACCTTCAAACATATGTCGCGGTTACTGATTCAAGTTCTGAAACATTCACATAAGTGTGCATTTATCAACATCATAAAATTTCATGTTCCGTTATTGGACTGTAAATATAAATAATTAAGCTGGACATGGGAAGTAGTGGCGAAAAATGCTTATGATATGTTTCAATGATCAACGGAAAGCTCACGGAGGGGAAAACAAACTGCATCAATTTTGTATAGATTTGGTTAGGACTTAGAAATAAACTAGTACGTACTAGCTTTAGATTTATCAAGTAGACAAGTAGAAATTATCTCTGTAACGTTTTTTTTCCAGTAGTAATTGGTAGATTTCATGAAAGGAGCTAAAAGAAAAAAAGGGGTGTGGAAAAACAAGTTCTTGATTTGTGCATGTTTACTTTTATGTACAAAGAAGCAATTTTTTTTCTTCTTACATTGGATAGTTTTATGACTCTCATCATGATCTCAGCCTAAGGAAATTTTACTTCTTGGGTGAAATTAAAGAAAATTCTTTTTACAGAGAACAAGGTCTTCCATGTGTAAAATCTGTTAATATTAGGGCCTGTTCATATTTACTGAGCTGAACTGAACTGAATTGATTGGAGCTGAGCTGAACTGAACTGAACTGATTGGAGCTGAACTGAACTGAACAGATTGGAGCTGAACTGAACTGAAAAATTAAAATGCATAAAAATATATGAAAATGTTTATGAAAATTAATGATAATATATATAGTGGATTGTGAAAAATATAAAAGTGTTTTAAAAATAACTCTGTATTTTAAATTATTATATTTTAAATTATAAAAATTTTGTGTATTATATTTTAAATATATATATAAAAATAAAAAGTATTCTTCAATATTTTACTGTAGTCAATCGTTGCTTGTTGTACTCTACACAATTTTGTTCGTTTACATGAATTAGGGATTCCATCCACGCACCAAGTTGAAGTCATGGGACCAACAGAAGATCATACTATGTACGATGATAACAGAAAAGCAGCTATGGATATAGTACGAAACCAAATAACTGATCAGATATGGGAGTCAATTCAGAGGAATGCCGAGGTCATGGAGCAACTTAATGAAGAAGAAGAAGACGAAGAACTAACTGATTATGAAAGCTAGTAACTGTTGTGTAGTACTCTCATTTTGTCAATGAGTTCAACTATATAAAACATGTGACCATTTTGAACGACGAATATAATTTAAAATAATAATAATAATAATAATTATTATTATTATTCTTTTTATTTTTATTATTATTATTATTTATTATTATTATTAATATTATTATTATTATTATTATAATCTCAAAAACAAAAGTCATACAACCTACAATAAATTAGTGGGAAGTCGAGATACCATCTGGGCCCCCACTCCTCTAGCTATAGCAAAGCCTACCCTAGTGAATATATGAGCTGCAGCACGAGCCCCAATGTCTTGCGTCATTGAGAACCTTTGAATCCGCTTCAGGAACGCAACATCCTCCTTCTCTAAATCCCCAAGCGAAGAAAAGGAGAAGGGAATGAAACCATATCCAATCGCCAGACAACGAGTTTCATACTTAACCCGCTTCCGATGAGCCGCATCAGCCACAACCCGTCCCGGAACAAAGTCAGATAGCCCTGTTTGTGTCAAAGGAGAAGACCCTGTGAAGTTGACACATACATCACGACCACGATCCCATGAATAAAGTAACACATCGGCAGGTCTGAGGGCCCCGTCATGCCCTCCAGACAATCCTATGTCAACCTCCTTTCTTGCTGAAATCCCAGATCTGTAGCAAATATCAACAAATGTATCCCGAACAACATTGTGCCGATGTTTAATACCAACAATGCCAGCACACGACACCGCATGGTCGCCGAATACATCCCCAGTAAAAACCCGAGAGCAAGCAGAGCACGGTGTCGAGACAAAGAACAATGGAACACCCATCCGATAACACAACACACATCGGTATGTTTTAGAGTTCATCGTCTGACCCAATCCAGAAATAGGTACTGCCCGAAGCCAAGCAGAGGTGTGATCACCCTGCTAAGACTTCCACAATGCCGACTGCCGAGGAGACAAAGAAAAGGTGGATTCTGCAGAAGCGGTAACCTTTGTGAAATATATATCTGTCAATTTCTTCATGAGTTTAGGGGCAGCGACCTCATAAGAATTACCTAAAATGTCAGACTCAACCGTTCCAGTAAACAAACTCAACGCATCCTCAAAAGCTTGACCAAGACCCACAATACCAGTACGACGTAGAAGCTGCGTCTGCAACCCAGCAGACTGCAACCGGGAAGCAAGAAAAGCATAGTGACGAACATCACCTGCGGAGTAAACACCAAGCCCTCCAAACGCAAATGGTAAGGTGGCAAGCCGCCACTGCCAATCACCAAACCCGGGCCCCGAAGCAGTAACAATACGCTCCAAGGAAGATCGAAGAGCCTCGTCGAAAACGCGCCGAGCCGCCTCAAATGCACCTGGAGGACAAGTACGCAAGGCAAAGTAGAGTTTAGAAACTCCAGTACATGCCCTAAGTAACAACAGCTCACACTGAGGATCATCCATCATAGCAACCTTATCCATAAGCGCAATGGTCTTGGTCACCCTCTGCATCACAAGCTCGCCACTAAACCTGGAATCAGAACTAACAGGACCACCAAGCAGCTTAACACCATGCAATGGTCGAGCAATAGAAGGGGGGGAAAACACCCACAAGCCTGCTACGAGGGTCTTCTGTAGGCCAGAAAACTCCCGTTTTTTCCACATTGAGATGCAACCCATAACGAGGTCCTTCCTCCATAATCAACTGTAGAACCTTCCCTACCACCAAAGTGTCTCCAATAATAGTGCTGTCATCCAAATACCACGCCTGAAGACATACCTCAAAAGCATCTTTGATTTTACACACAAGAGGTTGTAAAACCAAAGAAAAAAGGAGAGGACCAAGGGGATCACCCTGCTGCACCCCCTGAGGTGACCATAAGGTGTGGTCCTCATAATACAATCTGGCTGGATTAGAGTAGCAGAAATCAACCCACCGCGAAATACCCGGACAACGACAACGGACTTCACGTAACATGACCGCACGATCAATTGAAGGCATTTTGAAAATCCACCAACAACGACATAGAAAGACCAACGTCAGAATATTATTATTATTATTATTATTATTATTATTATTATTATTATTATTATTATTGTCGTTGTTGTAATATGCTAAAACATCTAAAACAAAAAAATTAACAACTGAGCTGAACTGAACTGATTAGAGCTGAACTGAACTGAACTGATTGGAGCTGAACCGAAAATAAGTAAATATGAACAGGCCTTTACTCATAGATGTCAAGTTAGATTTATAAAATAATCCAAGGTGGCTAACAATCAAAGGTGCATTGATCACCACCTAAGAAACCCTAGCACACCTTGTATTTAGTGTACTCGCAACTGACACTTATCCAACACAGAGATAAACTTGTATTTTATCCTAGAGGAATGCTCCATCTAGTTGATGTATTAGATTAACATAGTTCGTTGATCTAATTGTGTTATTGTAAATTTGTAATATTAAGGAACAGTAGGATTATGCCAGCTCATTGTTGCTTCAACAGAAGGTGTCCAGAAGGTTGGCGTTAACACCATCTTCTTCATCTTTGTGTTAACTCCATTCAAGGAGCTCGAGTTTTCCTCCACCTTCATCTTCTTCATCCTCACCCACCTTCCATCGACCTAATACCATCCTCCACCATTTACGACGACTTTGTTAATGAAACAAATGAAAATCCCTAAGTAAAAGGGAGAAATAAAGGGCATGGTCAACCCCAAAGAGTAGGGGTGACGTGTTCCTCAATAGAAGTTGCCCTTGAACATGAATTTCTCCATTGAAAGCTTCTGAAATTTCTATTGAATGAAGCTTTTCGAATTCAAAATCCTCTATTAACGGCGTTCCACAAGCTTTAAGAATGTTAATTTATATAGGAAAATTGGTTTTAATAATTCCAACTTTGGCCGATAGATTTTCTTTAAATAATCCTAACTTTTGATTGTTTTGGAATAACCCGAATTTATACATCTATCTTCCTAAAATAATTCAAGTGTTATTTTTGTCGCTTTTGTTGAACCCTTTTGGGACTATTATTTATTACAAAACAAAAATTCGAATTATTAGTTGGGATTATTCCAAAATAATCAAAAGTTGGAATTATTCAAAGAAATTCGGCTAAAGTTGGAATCATTAAAACCAAATTTTCCCTTCTTTTATAGATGAAATTACAAAATTACCCATACATAAAACCTTTAGATAAACCAAATTTTGTTTATCAAATAGATTTTGTCCATCAAAAAGCAAAGAAAATTTTAGATTTTAACACCTGACAATAACCCGAAATTGGTTTTTACCACCCAAAAAAAAAATTATTTTAACATCATAACATTTTTCAAGAAAATTGATTTTAACACCACTTAACAGATTTCGTCCAAGAATCCGTTAAGTGGGGTCCACACTGCCACGTGTCTCTTGTTGTTTGGCAAAAAAAAAAAGTAAAACCCTGCGCTCCTACGACCACCCAACAACCACCACCACAACCACATCCACACCCCAATCGCGTTGCTTCAACCGGTCGGCACCAAACCCACTTTCCTCCTCAGCCCCGACACCGAAACCCATCCCCCTCCCTAGCCCCGACCACCGGCGCCCATCTCCCTCCCATACCGTATCCGTAGCCGAAACCCTAAATTCTAACACTTCTGCGAAAATGGCCACGAAAACGGCTAATTATGGCCGAAATCAGCCGGTTTTGGGGCTTAGTGGCCTAAACCGGCCATGGCCGAAATCAGGGTCGTCTTTTTGGGGAAAGGGGGTTGCGATTTGGGGTTGGGAAAGAGGGTTGCGATTTGGGGTTCGGTGATGAGGTGCAGGTGGTGGTGGTGGTTGTTGGGTGGCCATAGGCTCTGGCGGGTGAGGTCGAAGAACAAGGAGGCGGTGGTGGCGCTGGGGTGGCTGGGTAGTGTTGGATTTTATTTTATTTTTTTTACCAAACAACCGACACGTGGCATTATAGACCCCATTTAACAGATTCATGGACTTAATCTGTTAAGAGGTGATAAAATCAAATTTTCGGAAAATTTAATAGTGTAATTAATTTTTTTTAATGGGGGTTTAATATCATTTTCGAGTTATTGTCCGGTTTTAAAATCTTAAATTTCCAAAAGCAAATGCCCACCCATAAAATTTGCCAAATTGATGCCCTTTGCGACATTCTTTGATTTCTTTCCACTATCCCGACGCTTCCTTTGCTTCACTACTCACAGACGTCGCAGTAGAAAACCCCTAAAACCTTACTTTCTCTCTCCTCTAAAATTTGCCAAATTGATGCCCTTTGCGACGCTTCCTTCCATCAATTAGGCTGACAAACCTCAAATGGCGGCCATTACACTTGGTGGAAAAGCTTCATCTCTCTCATCTTCCTCAGTTTTTCTGATATCAAATAAGCTCTCTCAGGTACGTATAGATTCCTCCATTTTCGAGAGATTATCATCATCTTCTTCGAAGAATAATACCGCTTCTCCTTCAATCAAGTATCAAATCGAATTTCCCAAATTTCTAACTTTTGAAGAAATCAGAGCTTCTGCTACTGTTCTTTTGTCCAAGCTATTGCTATCTAGCTCCCTAATTCGTATTGAAATCCCCAATTTGATTTGCAAAACCCTAAATTCTGAATCTAATTCTTTGATTTTTGAGTCAATTGATGTTACTGAAGAAGAGAAATGTGTGTTAGATGCTTGTTTATCTGTATCTGTGATAGATGGTATCTGTGCGTTGTTGGATTATGGGGCCTCTTGTTTGTCCCCTGTATCGGAGATGGTGGTGGCTTTGTCGTGTGAGGCGTCGAAGGCAAATGTATCGGCTTTTAATTTGGTTGATTCAGGAGATGGGAAATGTGTGAAAGATGAAGCTAGTGTTGCTAGTGATCTTAAGGTTATGCTTAATGGGTCTAAATTGACTGGTAAGGTTGAGATTGGTGCGGTTTCGAGTATTCTGAAGGTTTACGGGAGTTTGAGGGCCTCTGCGAGGGCTGTGCACTCGATAGCTAGGGCCGAGTTGAATTCGGTAGCTAAGGGTAATGTAGGTGGTACAGGGGAGGCTTGGGAATCGGTTTTGATGTCATTAGAATCCGTGCTTAGGAATTTGGGT